GGGGGGCCGGGGGGAGCTCTGCAACTTACCTGGCTGCTTCTTGCTCTGACTGAGGGCTGCTGGGAGCAGGGGGCGGGGCTTGTTGCATGTGCCCGCCCCCTGGGCTCTTTGCTGCCGGAGCTCCGCTCCTGTGCCCTCCTGCAGGAAATGACCCCTGGGATTCTTTGGAAGTATTTCTATTTCCATTAGGTAACTTACAATAGGATACCAAATAGGTACAAATTTCTTCTGGTATTGCATAGGCGAATCGTTACCAGTCTTAAATGACAATTTGCTTAAAATAAAATAATCCCAGATTTTTATTAGCCACTGTTGAACGGAGGGGACTTCTTTTTCTATCCATTTGGTTGCTATCAGATTTTTTGCTATCGTCAAAAGTATGGAAACTGATTCTTGTTGTCTTGATGTCACTTGAATGTCATTCCAGTATTCCAGTAATACTACAGCTGGGTTTAAAGGAATTTTGATTGAAACCATTTCTTCTATTTTGTTAAGTATACAGATCCAAATTTTTCGAATTCAAACGCAAGACCACCAGCAGTGTATCAGATCTGCTGTTTGTCCACATTCGTTTTGTACAGTTAGATGTAAATGTCTTATTTATACTATGTCTTTATTTTTGGTGAAATATTCCCTCTGGTAAGTATTTTAAATGCCTGCATTTTGACAGTGAAGATTTTAGATGTTTGACTGGGGGAGCTCCAAATTTGTTCCTAGTCTTCTTATTTACTTCCTATTCTAATTGTCTTTGCTATTTGTTATGTTATGCTCGCGTATTTGTCAGTTGCGTTACATACAGATTGTCAAATAAATTTTAAAAACTGGGGGGGGGGGAATAGAATTTAATAAATAAATAAATCACTCACACACACACACACACACACACGCTTACTTGTTACCTCCACGCTGGATAGAATTTAATAAATAAATAAATAACACACACAAACACACACACCCCGCTTACCTGTTACCTCCACGCTGGCTCCGGTGATGTATCGGCTGTCGTCGGAGGCCAGGAAAGCGCACACATCGGCAACTTCTGGGAGGAGACAGAAGAGAGAAGAGATTGGATTTAAACCCCGGCCTTCACTACCCAAGGGAGTCTCAGAGCGGTTTACAAACTCCTTTCCCTTCCCCTCCCCACAACAGACACCCGGTGAGGTAGGTGGGGCTGAGAGAGCTCTTTTGAGGACTGCTCTTGAGAGAACAGCTCTGAGAGAACTTGTGACTGACCCAAGGTCATACCAGCAGCTGCATGTGGAGGAGTGGGGAATCAAACCTGGTTCTCCCAGATTAGAGTCCGCGCTCTTAACCACTACGCCAAACTGGCTCTCCCTTCTCCCAAAACCCACCCTGACCCCCCCACACACAAAGACAGCCCTGTCACCGCTGTCCTAACCCAAACTGACCACCAGCCTCCTTTCTCCCCGCTCCCCGATTTGGCTCGGTCAGCCCACCCCCAGGCCCCTCCCGCACGGTTCGTGTTGGGCGAACGTCTGACCTTCCGGCTCCCCGAGGCGTCCCAGGGGCACCATCGCCGCAAACTGCAAAGAGAGGCAGGGAGATTGGTGGGGGAGCCGCAGGGAAACCGCTCTCTACCTGTTCCGTTTTCGCCTGCTCTTCCTCCCGGGGGTGCAGGGCGAAACACAGGGCTCCTCCGCTTGCACCTCACAACAACCCAGTGAAGTAGGGTATGCCGAAAGGGAGCGGGTGTCCCAGGGTCAACCCGGGAGCTTCCTGGGGTTTCGATCCTGTGCCTCCCCGGGCGTAGTCAGATCTGGGAACTGCTACACCACACTGGCTCCATCCTGACCCCCTCCCCCCATAATTTAAGTAGCTTGTGACCAATGCTCCCTCTAAGCTGCGGAGTCTTGTGAGCAAGAATTCTACTTTCTGAACGACTGGCATTAAAGCTGTGAGTGGGTGATTTGGCTCTTGCATAAATTAGTTTGCTCTGGTTGTGACCAATGGTCCCTCCAAGCTGCGGAGTCTTGTGAGCAAAAATTCTACTTTCTGAGCGACTGGCATTAAAGTTGTGAGCAAGCGATTTGGCTGCTGCATAAATTAGTTTGCTCTGGAGTAGAGATGTAAAATTTCCGGAAATTTTGAACCTCGGGAAAAACCCGTTTTTTTCGGGGGGGAACGGAAATTTTTGGAAAAAATGAAAAAAAATGCTACATTAGCATTTCTTTTGTCTTTTCTAGATTGAAAGTCATTCTGTTACTTTAGGAACATAAAATATGACTATGGACATTTTTACTTGGCATGAAATTATCACAACTAGCATATTAAAAATATAGTGTATCCAAACAATTATTACAAACAGAATACCCACCCACATGCAAAAACAAAACTGAAACCTTTTTATTTTCTTCTGACAACCGCACCTCCTAAAGGAAGAAATGCATCTTGTTCTTGCATGGGAGAGTTCAGTTTGTAACCTAGGACTTGCTTGTCCTCAGTGCGCAGAAATAAGATCAATCTGATACCATATATATATATATTTTAGAAATGATTTGGAAAATATTTGAACACCTTGCCTTAAAATATTTTATTCATCATGTTAAAATAAAACATTCCATAATCAATTTTTTTTCTTTTCTTTTTTCAATTTTTCCAATTTTTCAGAAAAAAACAAAAAGGCTTCAGGAAAAAAAATGGGAAAAACCCGTTTTTTTTCTGAATTTTTCCGTTTTTTTTCTGGATCTTCACATCTCTACTCTGGAGCCCCATCCTTCCTGAGAGCTATGACAGAAATCTGTGAGCTGGAGGTTAAAAAACTGTGAGCTAGCTCACACTCACTCAGCTTAGAGGGAACACTGGTGGTGACCCCTCCCCCAAGCATGAGAGGCAGGATGTTGCCTAGGCAGGGCCCCCCCCCACGCACTAACCTTGTCCAGCACTTTTTGGGGCACTTTGTCTGTCATGGGGGAGCGGACGAATCCCGGTAGGACCGTGTTGCAGCGAATCCCGTACCTGCAGGGCGGCCGGCGAGAAGAAAAAGTCAAGAGGAGGGCGACCCAGAGGGCGAGGGGGTTGGAGCCCCTTCCCTCGGAGGAGAGGCTGACGAGCCGGGGACCTTCCAGTTTAGAAAAGAGACGACTAGGCGGGGAAATGAGAGAGGTGTATAAGAGTTATGCCTGGGGTGGGAGAGAGTGGATGAAGAGAGCTTTTTTCTCCTTTTGTGACAAAACCAGAACTCGAAAGCATGTGGAGCTGATGGGCAGTAGGTTCGGGACAGACGAAAGGAAATACTACTTTACACAGAGAGTGATTAGAATGTGGAATTCGCTGCCAGAGGATGTATTGGTGGCCAGAGGAATAAACAGCTTTCAAAGGGGATTAGAGAGATTTGTGGAGGATGGCTACTAGCCACGGTGACTGAGGGGGACCTCTACATTCAGAGGCACAAAGCCTCTGTGCCCTGTTCTTGGCCCTCCAGAGGAACTGGCTGGCCGCTGTGTGAGACCTGATGCTGGACTAGAGGGACCCTCACTGGTCTGACCCAGCAGGGCTCTTCTGGTGTCCTTCTCAGGGGAAGGCCTTGGCCTCTCTGCCCTTTTGTTGGCCCTCCAGAGGGACTGGCTGGCCCCTGTGTGAGGCAGGATGCTGGACTGGATGGACCCTCCCTGGTCTGACCTAGCAGGGCTCTTCTGAGGTTCTTCTCAGGGGAAGGCCTCGGCCTCTATGCCCTGTTGTTGGCCCTCCAGAGGAACTGGCTGGCCCCTGTGTGAGACAGGAGGCTGGACTAGATGGACCCTCAATGGTCTGACCCAGCAGGGCACTTCTGATGCTCTTATAGGGAACCTCCACATACAGAGGCAGTCAACCTCTGAATCCCAGAGCCAGGAGGCAACGTCAAGGGAAGGCCTCGGCCTCTCTGCCCCGTTGTTGGCCCTCCAGAGGAGCTGTCTGGCCACTGTGTGAGACGGGATGCTGGACTAGAGGGACCCTCACTGGTCTGACCCAGCAGGGCTCTTCTGGTGTCCTTCTCAGGGGAAGGCCTTGGCCTCTCTGCCCTTTTGTTGGCCCTCCAGAGGGACTGGCTGGCCCCTGTGTGAGGCAGGATGCTGGACTGGATGGACCCTCCCTGGTCTGACCTAGCAGGGCTCTTCTGAGGTTCTTCTCAGGGGAAGGCCTCGGCCTCTATGCCCTGTTGTTGGCCCTCCAGAGGAACTGGCTGGCCCCTGTGTGAGACGGGAGGCTGGACCAGACAGACTGTTGGTCTGATCCAGCAGGGCTCTTCTTACGTTCTTAAGACGGTCAGAGAGCCCACGGAGGCTTTGACTGGCTAGGAGCCCTCCTGCAAGAGCAACCGAGGAATATGGCCGGGGGCCACGGAGGCAACTCCCCCCTCCCCGTCAGCACCTCTGGAGGGCCAGGAAAAGTCTGCGTGGCCAAACACTGAAGACACATCTCAGGTATTTGCTGAACATTTTGGAAATAAAGTCCCAATACGGAGGGCAACGCAGTAACACGTCACCGACTGCTCCAACCCTGTCCGATCGCCAGGGGCGAGCCTGTGGAGGGGAAGGGGCCTGTGAGCCCCTCCCTCCCAAAACGGCTGACGGAAAAGCATTCCAGTGGGCCGAGGTTAGGGCTCTTTGGCACTTAGTGAATTCTGAAACAGGGAGTACGGTTCCAGCCCTCCCCGGCTTTCTCCACGGAGCTAAGGCACCGGGGGCCATTCTTCCAGTTTGGTGTATTGCTTAAGTGCGCAGACTCTAGTCTGGGAGAAGGAGGCTTGATTCCCCACTCCTCCGCTTGCAGCTGCTGGATGACCTCGGGCAAGCCACCGTTCTGGCAGAGCTGTTCTCTCAAGGGCAGTCCTCGAGAGAGCTCTCTCAGCCCCACCTACCACACAGGGTGTCTGTCGTGGGGAAGGGGAAGGAGTCTGTCAGCCGCTCTGAGACTCCTTCAGGTAGCGAAGGGCCGAGTAAATTCCCAATCTCTTCTTCTTCTTCCTTCCCCCATTTTACGTTCACAACAGCCCTGCAAGGTGGGCCAGCCCAAGAGAGATGGCCAGGCGCCAGATCACCCCCGCGAGCTTCGCAGCCCCCTGGCCCCCCACCCCACCCCCCGTGGCTCACCTGGCCAGCTCCTTGGCCGCCGTCTTTGTCAGCGCCTCCACCCCGGCCTTGGAGGCAGCGTAGTTCACTTGCCCCAGGTTCCCCACCTGTCCAGGAGAAAAGAGAAGACTGTGGGGAGGGGGAGACACACAGTGGGTCCCACGCCTGGCTAAGGGGCTGGGGCAAAGATGGAGGGGAGGAGACTGAAGGAAGCTCTTGGCAGAGCTCAAGGGGGTGGGGTGGGGTGGGGCACAGCACCTTCCCGACAATGCTGCCCACGTTGATGATGGAGCCGCTGGACGCGCCGCTCGCCACCAGGGCCCGGGCCGCAGCCTGCGTCACCAGAAAGGTTCCCTGCAGGGAGACACGAGAAAAGAGGGGCAAGCCCTCAAGCAGCCCCCCTTCCGGCCCCACACAGGGGGGCTGCGTCCAGACATGCCCCCCTTCCCCTCCCTCCCCCCACGCCGGCTACCTTGAGATTCACCCTGAGAACGGCATCGAAGGCCTCTTCGGTCTGCTTGAGCAGGAACTCGTCCATAGTGATGCCGGCGCAGTTGACGCAGACGCTGGCAGGCCGGGAGTAATGGGCCTGGAGGAAGGAGGGCGGGAGGGGGAGTCGGGGGGGTTTCGGGACAGCCGAGCCAAGGGCCCAGAGACCCCAAAAGACGCCCACTCTGGGCTTAAGGACATCAGAGAAGCCAATGCTGGGTCAGGCCAAGGGCACATCCAGTCCACCACTCTGTGTCACAAACAGTGGCCAAAAATACCAGGTGCCACCAGGAGGTCCACCAGCGGGGCCAGGACTCCAGAAGCCCTCCCACTGTTGCTCCCCCCACCCCAGTACCAAGAATACGTTTCATAAGAACAGAAGAGGATCCATGTTGGATCAGGCCAATTACCAGCGGGGCCAGAACTAGAGATGTAAAATTTCCGGAATTTTTTTTTTTAATATACAGTTTTTTATTTGTATTTATACGCACAAACATTTCATCTATTCAGATTACATATAATTCAGAGTCTTCCATCTCTTACTTTTTATACAAGTTGGGGATATTAATTTTCTAACAGTTTTTCTATCCACTTATACACTTTTTCCCACCTCCTTTCATGCACCTTTTCATTTTTATTCTGTAACATTAAACTTAAGTTATCCATTCTAGCGAGTTCCAGTATCATCAATTAATTGTTCCCTTGTAGGAATAGCTTCAACTTTCCATTTTCGAGCTATTAACAGTCTAGCTGATGTTATGATGTAGCTTAATACATATGCATCTTGTTTATTGTATCCTTTCGGGATCATATTTAGCAAATATATTTCAGGTTTTAACTCTAGATTTCCCCCCAGACTTTCTTGAATTTCCGGAAATTTTGAAGCTCGGAAAAAACCAGAAATTTTCGGAAAAATTGAAAAAAATGCTACATTGGCACTTCTTTTTTCTTTTCCAGATTGAAAGTCACTCTGTTACTTTAGGAACCTAAAATGTGACTATGGACATTTTTACTTGGCATGAAGTTATCACAAGTAGCATATTAAAAAAACAGTATATCCAAACAATTATTACAAACAGAATACCCACCCTACATGCAAAAACAAAACTGAAACCTTTTTCTTTTCTTGTGACAACAGCACCTCCTAAAGGAAGAAATGCATCTTGTTCTTGCACGGGAGAGTTCAGTTTGTAACCTAGGACTTGCTCGTCCTCAGTGCGCAGAAATTAGATCAATCTGATACCATACGTATTTTTTAGAAATGATTTGGAAAATATCTGAACATCTTGTCTTAAAATATTTTAGTCATCATGTTAAAATAAAATGGTCTATAATCAATTTTTTTATTTTCTTCTTTCAATTTTTCGGAAAAAAACCAAAAAAAGACTTCAGGGAAAAATACGTTTCCCCCCCGAATTTTTCCGGTTTTTTCCCGGGCCTTCACATCTCTAGCCAGATCTCCAGAAGCCCTCCCACTGTGCCCCCCCCCAAGCACCATACGGCGCATCACTTGTCCCAGACAGAGTGTTCTCCTCTATACCTTGTGGCCAGAAGCCACTGATGAGCCTCTGCTCCAGATATTTCTACAACCCCTCCCCTCTTGAAGCAGCAGTGAGTTCCACAGGTTAAGTACTCAGAGCAGTGAGATTTTGGAACGAGATTGAAATAGATTTCCAAGGAGTCAGCGTGGTTCTGGTAGCAAGCAACCTATCCCAGCAAACCCCCTTGGGGTTTTAGCCACAGTGGTCCAAGACAGTGTTCCCTCTAAGCTGAGTTCGTGTGAGCTAGCTCACAGTTTTTTAGCCTCTGGCTCACAGATTTTTGTCTCAGCTTGGGAAGGAGGGCCCCAGAGCAAACTAATTGTATGCAGGAGCCAAGTCGCTCGCTCACAACTTTAATGCCAGTAGCTCACCAAGCAGAATTTCTGCTCACAGGACTCCACAGCTTAGAGGGAGCATTGGCTTCAAGACTATATTTGGGGAGTGGTGTGTGGCATCATGCATGCAGAAGTTCCCCCAGGTCCAGTCCCTGGCCGCAGACCCTCAGCAACTGGGATTCGGAGATACACTGCTTTTGAACGTGGAGGTTTTTGTTCAGGACTTGTAACTCTTAGCTATGGGAATTGTTGCAAACAGAATAATGCAAATGGGATGCCAGGGAATTCGGGGAGGGGGGGGGAACCCCTGGCATTTCTGGAAGGGGGGAGGAGTCTAAAAGGTTAAAATGGGCAAACCCAGAACCGTCAAGGGAGGAGGGCATGGGCTGTAACTCCTTGCCAGGGAACGCCAAGTGCACTCGCCAGCAACACCCCTCCTTTAGGAAGGAGGAAGTCCTATTTGGACTTTTGAAAAATGTGACTTTTAGAGGTTTCATCATGGTTGTTTTTACTGTGCTTTTTTATACTGTTTTATTTATATCTGCGGTGGCTCAGTGGTGAAGATGCTGAACTGCAGACTGGAAGGTCGGTCGGCTGGTCGTTCGAGACCCGAGTGTGCCGCATGACGGAGTGAGCTCCCGTCTCTGGCCCCAGCTTCCTGCCAACCTAGCAGTTCGAAAGCAAGAAACTGCAAGTAGATAAATCGGTACCGCTTCGGTGGGAAGGTAACAGCGTTCCGTGCGCCTTGGCGTCTAGTCACGCCAGCCACATGACCACGGAAAAAGTCTTCGGACAGCGCTGGCTCTTCGGCTTGGAAACGGAGACGAGCACCGCATCCCTAGAGTCGGACCCTAACCTTTACCTAAGAAATGTTTTAAATCTGAGCCCCTTTCGGGCGTCCCACTCCAGGCCCAGCCCCGCAAGGGAGGCCCAGCGCCTGCCGCCAACTCCCACCTGGATCTGGCCCATGAGCTCCGCCACGTCCTCGGAGCGTCCCACGTCGGCCACCCAGGCCCGATGGTCCCCCGCCTGGAGCCCCCGCAGCGTCTCAGCCGCCCCGGCTTCATTGCGGTCGGCCACGGCCACCAGGGCGCCTTCCCGGGCCAGGCGGGCGCAGACGGCGCGGCCAATGCCACTCGCGCCCCCTAGGGAGAGACCTCCGTGTCAGGAAAAGGGGAGAGGGGGGAAGCCCACCCTGTCCGGCATGTTCACGCGCCGGCTCAGCGCTCCGCTGCGCACGCCGGGCAGAGATCCGACAGGTGCGGTCTCGCCCCCTCCCCGTCGCCAAAGCTCCACACGCCTCCGTTCCGACATGCAAATCGCCCAGGGTCAGGAGCAGTGTTCCCTCTAAGCCGAGTGAGTGTGAGCTAGCTCACAGTTTTTTAGCCTCTGGCTCACAGATTTCTGTTTTAGCCAGGAGCGGATGAACCAGGGCTATTTTGGGGCAGGAACACACAGGAACGGAGTTCCGACTGGCTCCCGAGTTGGCCACACCCAGCAGGAACTCATTAGCAGAATAGGCCACACCCAGCAGCAGAAACTCATTCGGATTGGCTACATTAGGGGTGTGTGGCCTAACATGCAAAGGAGTTCCTGCTACAAAAAAGCCCCTGGGTTTTGACCACAAACAAGGCAAACAGAATAAGAAGCAAAAGGTGGGCGTGGCTAGATGACCACACTTCTGGCAACACGGGGCTGCGGCCTAATATGCTAATGAGCTGTGGTGTCGGGGTGTGGCCTGATATTCTAAGGAGTTTCAGCTGTTGGGCGTGGACTATTATGCTAATGAGTTCCTGCTGGGCTTTTTCTACAAAAAGAGCCCTGGCGATTAACCATGAAGCAGACTCAGCCCGTGCTTAGGGCACCAGGGCCAATGAGGGCACCACAAAGTTGGGAAAAGGGTGAAAAGAAAAAATATATATGAAGATTTGTAATTTAATGGTCACCAACTGCACAACAGAGAGGTCTGTCTCAGAACTGAAACGTGTAAAAAACCCAAATAGATCAGTTATGCTTCAAGAAAGACTCCACTCACTGTGTATATTAACAATTGAAGCAGACATTCTGAGAGGCATTAATTAATTTCGAGGATGTTCTCAGTGATTCTGCGAAAATGAAATGTAGAAAAATGCCTTTCGGGTCATGAATATTAGAACTTTGATACATTTAACTTGTGAAATATTACAAGCTGAGTTATGAGCTAGCTCACAGTTTTTTAGCCTCCGGCTCACACATTTTTGCCTTAGCTCAGGAAGGGATGGCTCCAGAGCAAACGAATTTATGCAGTAGCCAAATAGCTCGCTCACAACTTTAATGCCAGTAGCTCACAAAGTAGAATTTTTGCTCATGGGACTCCACAGCTTAGACTTAGAGGGAACATTGGATGTTGTATTGCATTTCTGTAGAACTTTATGTAGCCCAAGCTTGGCTTCGTTTGTGCAGTCTATTGTGTTATCCTATGGATAAATTGTTGTATTGCTGCAATCTGCATTGTCTATCTGGCCAGACAGGTCAGCAACTAAAACGGACTGGGGGTCAGTGTGGAAAGGAGGGGGGCACCAAGACTGGTCAGTGCTGAGGGCACTGGTTAGCCTTCATCCGCCCGATCTTAGCTCAGGAAGGGACGGCTCCAGGGGAAACTGATGGACGCAGTGGCCAAATCGCTGGCACACTCCTTTAATGCTGGTAGCTCACAAAGTAGAAGTTTTGCTCACAAGACTTAGAGGGAGCATCGGTCAGGAACTACGCTCCACCCCAAGGGGACTCTCACAGCAACCCGAGACTTGGGACATGGTTCGACAGGTGCATCCGTCCGCCCCCCCAAAATCATTCCAACTCTGTGCTTAGCAGAAGTTCCTCCCGCCCGGCTCTCAGCAACCCCTAGAAGTGCACAAGAGCCCTGCTTTTGGAGGGGAGGGGGCAGCCTTTGGCCTAATCCAACATTGGCTTCTCTTATGTTCTTATATGAACTCTTGGTCTGGGGCAAGGGATGCTCTGTCTTCTTGGTGCTTGGGGGGGGTCAGATGTGTCCCAACACATAAGCAAAATTGAAAAATTTGCCAAGGGATGCGCAGAGCGTCTGAATAATAATGAATTCAGGATGCTGTATTTGAGCTATATACAGTGGCTTTTATTTACAGTTATATACACAGTCCATGCCACCATGCGGTATCCCAGATTCACAGAACTGACCGACAAGGTGCTTCGCAGTACACTCTCCACAGGTGTGGAACACTTGCTTCAGGACTACATTCCATATATACAGTACTTGCACCAATCAGAGTCATTTTGCCAACTCATGGTGACATAGTTAATTGAGCTGATGCAACCTAGTGCAACTTGCATCTGGTGACCCTGTCACATGACAGTCTTGCCTGTCACCCAGATCAGTTTAATCTGACATGTGTGCATCATTGGCTGTCATCTTGCATACATATAATACAATATGCCAACACGCCTCCCAAGATACAGCCTATTCAAATGACAGTTTACTTTTCAACACTTTGAATCTATTTACAGGTACACACTTTGTAAATAAATCAGCCAGGTTATCCTCAGAATTACAGTACTGAATGTCAATGAAATTTGTACATACAGCAACCCTTACA